TCCGTTTGAGAAAATGCACATTGGCTTTGTGAGGGATATATTTAAATAAGGTAGAATTATGTTCTCATATTTTCTGTAGTTCACTGATTATTCAGTTATGTTAGGAGCTATGAGCTCCTTTTTGACTCAATGAATGAAAAAATAAAATAAAAATAAATTCAATTTAAATCTGAGCCAGAAGCATCCAGGTTCCTATCCAGAGATCAGTATTGAAACCTTCTTAGTGAATTGACATCATTCACAACCAACGTGAGGATTTATCTCAACGTTGACAAGTCAGAAAATTATGATAGTTCATTTATGAATGACACTATCTTTCGTCAATTTAATTGAGAAGAGTAGAACTTCAATATTCAGAGTTGGACCTTGGAGAGAGAGGATTTCCTCCTCGAATATTGATTCTGTGAATCTGTTTTTGTTGCATAAAGTACGAATTGTTCATTCGTAATTTTAATCAATTATTTCTATCAAAAGCAGACAAATGTTTGTTGTGTCTTATTTACGTATCAATTATATCATCTGGGAACTAGGTCAGGATGAAGGTCAACTCCATTTCATTGGAATCATCTTCTCACTCATTAAAACATCCTCGAACTATATGTGAAGATGCTTCGTGTATCCCTGATTCAGGATTAACAAAGTTTGATCCCAATAGATTGGAGATCCCCAAAGTTTTAAAATATTTTGTCACTTTGACAGTGTCTCGAGAATTATTTTACGAGATTTTATGATGATTTCCATCCGAAAAATCAGGAAAATACCTGATAAATCAGTGAATTTAGTTTTCTATGGGAAGGAATCAAACTTTCCAATCCGCTGGTTGTCATTGCCACCTTCGGGCAATTGTCACCAGTCAACAAATGATCATTATAAAGTTTTTCTATATAAACTAATTGAAAAAGTTTATTAAAAACTATTACGTATTACAAACATTCATGTTTATTTATTTCTTTATTATTATTATTTAATATTGCTAATTTCAGCTGAGGTTGACCTCTGGCGTTAGTCAGATAGCCTTTTTTTAATTGCTCTCTAAACTTGTAGTCAATGGTTTAGATATCTAGATACCAATGCACTGGTTGTCATTGCCTCCTTCGTGCAATTGTCACCAGCCAGGACGCGCAAACGTGACTCATTCATGTCGAGTACACGTAGTAAAAATTAAAAATGACAAAAGTAATTTTAACTCAAAGAATTGAATATTACCTTTCGAGGTTACATCGCACTTGTGGAACAACAGTTTCTCCCGTTGTGACATTTCTCGTAGGATTACTCCTGGAGGCTCACTTCTTTTCGTTCTAATATTTGTCCACATTTTATCATGAAAAAAGTTGATAATCAATTGATTTTGAGTAAATATAAATGCTCTCTATCATGTGTCTCTTTCGAGTACAAAAAACGTTATGAAAACGACAGGTCTATAGTGGCGCCACGAAGCCCTCATGGCACACTTTTTTTAATTGCTCTCTAAACTTGTAGTTCGATCTGCATGATCAGCGGTACTACCAGTAAATATCAGGATTGTAATCCCGAGAACGAGATTGATATATAATAACAATAAAAAAAAATTTGGATATTATTATCATTTTTTCAAAATGAGAAAATTGACTATGATTTTCATTGTGTTGCATTTAAATTCTATAATTTCATTATTCTAGCTATTGATTTTAAGGAGAGACTACTATGAGTTTTAAAAATCGCGGGCGATTAGAGTGAGATTTATCATGCATTGAAAATCAAATATATACGTCTAACAAAAAATAGTTAGTGCAAAAAAAAATTATTTATTGTCCGTTTCCCCCGCATATGCTTAAAATGTTAAAAATAGTCCAGGACCTCCAATTTTTTAGCTATAGAGGTTTTCTTTCCGCATTGTTGAAAACATGTCCACAATAACAATTACGAATTAGTCTTTTGAATTTCGATTCCTACACAGCTAATTATATTTGATTTTATATAAAAATTCGTGCTATCCATGTAAAATAGGCAAAAAAGTTATCCTTGAAATATTTGAAATAAATTCTCAATTATTTGAGAAACTTTTTTGGGCTATTTTACATAAATAGTGTAATTTGTCATTCGAAAAAAAAAATTCTGTAGCATGTTTTTAACATGTTTAACGTCTGCGGGGCAAACAAACAATGAACATTCAATTTTTTTGCACTAATTATCCGTTTTTAGATGTATATATTCGAACTTGAATGTATGAGAAATCTCATTCGAATCGCCCACGACTTGTAAAACTCATAGTCGTCTCTTCTTAATCAACTTTGGAGAAATCCTTACTAAACGTTACATTAAGAAAATTGAACAATTCTATTTTCGATTTGAGTAGTAGACGAGAACCTGATTTAACAGTTGGCAATTCATCTGAGGTGAGAGTTTCAGACTTTCCTGAAACATCATCAGAGTCGGATAGTCTTGAGATGACTACTTGGGACTCTTGGAATGAAATGCAGGCTGCTGAACAATTGAAAGCAAATGCTAAGGCCAAGGCTCTGTTACCTGATGTGATACACCAGAACTTGATTCAACAGTTGATATGGAGAAAGAAGATTTTCCAGTTGTTATTGACATCCCAGATTCATCAGAACTTGCAGAAAAGAATTCATATGCATTAGATACATCAGAGAGTCCAGAGCGTCAGGAAAGAGGTTCCGTGAATATTTCAGACTCTCCAGATAGCCCAGAGCCAGATTCTCCAGAGAGCCCAAATCCAGAGGGAAGAGGCTCCATCAGTATTGCAGACTTTCCAGAGAGCCCAGAGCCAGATGAAAAAGACTCTATCAATATTCCAAACTCTCCTGAAAGCCCAGAGCCAGAGGAAAGAGGCTCTGTCAATATTCCAGACTCTCTAGAGAGCCCAGAGATCACTTTCAGATAAGTGAATAAATATTTCTTGTTAAGTGTCATTTCTGCTCGATATTTGGCAGGCAGGAAATCTCCTCGAATGGCAATTTTGTTTATGTCATCCAGATCCACAGGTTGATCCATCTCCATTTTGACTGTTCTCTCTTTCTGCTCTGTTCACTACGTATTCTTTATTGAGATATGTGTGGCTACCGTTTGAGGCAGTAGACTGAATGATCAGACATTTCACTGACGATACTGATAGGCTTTCATAAGTGGAGAGGAGGTTACAATTATTGGCCATCGTTTTAACGGAAGAAAAATTCCAAGTAATGATTGAGTCCAACGTACTTCTCAATCGTCACATTGTTTCTAAAAATTCGATAGATTGCCAGGGGTATTGAATCGAACTAGCATATTTCTCAATGCAAAGATCACTCGCAGAATCTTAACGGTCAAATAGTTCTTGAAAATTTGGTTGGTTCAGAGAAGAGAACGGGTAATGAATCGTATTTCTTAACAGAAGATTCAGTCGCAGAATCTTGACAGTTAAATTGTTTTGGAATGATTGAGTCCAACGTACTTTTCAACCGTCGCATGGTTGCTGAAAATTCGATGGATTGACAGGGGTATTGAATCGATCACAACATATTTCTCAACGGAAAATCACTTGCGGAATCTCGACGGTCAAATAGTTCTTGAAATTCGGTTGATTGGGAGGGGAGGCAATGATGCAATGGATTTCTTAACGGAAGAATCATTCGCAGAATCTTAACAGTTACATTCTTCCCGAAATTTCGGCGGAAGATTCTCGAGACGTTAATACATACATACACGCGATCGTTGCTATAAATTCATCTGCGTTTTCACTGAGCCTCGTCAGTGCAATTTTAAGATGGAACGTCATACCATGCCGTCTGCTAAAATACTTGAAGTTCTAGAGAATGCCTATCAGACTGCACTCTATCACTCTATCACCCAATCAGAAGGTCTGGTTTTTCAATCCATGCAGAGTTAAAGGAAAATCTCCTAAACTCCAATGCGATTGGGAAGGACCTTTTGTCATTAAAAATAAGTTGAATGATGTGGTTTACCGCATCCAAAAATCACTTCATTCCAAACCTAAAGTGATCCACATTAACCGGATTGCTCCCTACGAGGATTGAAACCTCATTATTTCTTTTCCCCTTCATTTGACAATTATTCTCTTATCAATTTCTGTTAATTACTGGCATTAAATTAACAGAAAGATTATTCTTTTATTTTATTTTATTTTATTTTCCCGGGAAAGATGTCAGGGGAAGCGAATGCGCATAGCTTCTCTATTTCATTAATTCTCTACAGAGAATAATTTTCATCCCTCTTTCTCCTTTCATTTCTTTTACCCTTTCTATTTGACTTCGATTCTGCCGGGTTTTTCCATTCTCTTTTTCAGAAGCATTTCCTGATCAAGATTTTCCCGGACTGACCTGTCGCGCGACCCCAATAAAACCAACGAACTTCCAGTCCTACAATGACCTTATTTCGAGTCAATTCCTATTCTCTTTTATATTTTTCGTCTGCGTTTTTCGAAGAGAATATGGGTTAAGGACCCCAGATAACTAAAATCTCAATTATCTTTAATAATTGACATTTCAGTTGTTCTTAACAGGTTTGCCCGATTATCGGAACGACAATCTTCTTTCAGAGGAGGGAGTAGTGTTATGATTATCTAATTTCCTCTCAGAAAGCATTCCATCGTGTCTGCATTCTTTCCTTTCCTCCAAACCTCTCCTCTGAAGTAAGCATCTCTCTTCTGTTATTATTCATTCTTTCCTCTTATTTTGACACTTTAACATGTCTATTTTATATCGTCCCATTTATTTTAATAAATCCTTCTTATTATTTACCCACGTGCACTTCAATATAGAACGATGGATTAATAAATGCATCTCTTACATGCAATTTTACACGAGAGCTCTGAATAGGGGAAATTTATCTGTTAGGAAGAAAAATGAAATTTTGTCTGTAATCGCCGGACCCAAGGATACGAAGGAAGATTCAGAAATAGACAACATCGAGAAGGCCGGGTGCAGGTGCCATCAACTAGCAGTGAAGAATCACTTACAGATCGAGTACGCTGGAGGGATCGGCCAGTAGCCTTTCAAGGTCGAGTACACACTGGTATCGTAATCAATCTTCAAAATAAGGATCCCATGGCTTTTTTGAATGGTGCGGAAGAATTGTCAACTGTAAGTTTGGGGAACGTTCGTGAGAGTAATGGAAAGATCAAAGTCAACACTATACTAGCTTGTAAATTTCAAATGAAAAGGAAGAGGTGATCAGCAGTGAAATAAAGTATTTCAATACGAAGAATGAAATCATTTTACCAGCTACAGACTTCAGGGAATGGTTTGATGAGAATGTGACTGAATCATTCCATTGCTTACGAAAATCGAAGATTTTCACGAACGTGATTCAGGATGGGAACTAATTGAAATGGTAAATTTAATGATCAATATGAATCGATATGTACCACTTGGTGCTGGCTTATCCACTTACACAGAGCTGCCGTATGACATACGGTGTAAAAAAGCAGTTGTTAACATAAAATATTCAGATAAATTCTGTTTCTTGTGGTCAGTTTTTGCTGCTCTCCATCCAGCAAAGAGTAACAGATGTATTACTCATTCATGTCCCCATTATACCATTGCAATAGTACCTCAAAGTCACAAGAGGCTTGATTACAGAGGTATTAATTTCCCCATCGCTCCAAGTGATATTCATAGATTTGAGAAGAAAAATGACTTATTGAATAATATTTATGGTATTGAATATGAAGGCAATGCTCAGAAGGAAACAGTACCTTTCTCTCTCAGCAAGGTGGAGTCTCAGAAACCTACAATTCATTTACTACTTTTTTGTTCGAGTGTGCATGTTCTAACGGGCACCCAACCAATTTATCACTTTGCATGGATTAGAAATCGTTCAAGACTCGTTAGTGCACAAATTTCAAGTGCTAAGTATCGTATGTATCTCTGTCATCGGTGCTTCTGCCATTTTTATGAGCAAAAATATCATGACGATCATAAGCAAGATTGTTTCGCTATAAATAAGTGTAAAGTGATATGACCATCGGAGGAAAACCAAATTTTGAATTCAAAAACCATAAGTGTAAGGAACTCATACCATTTGCTATTTACGCTGTTCTAGAGCGTATTTTACAGACTAGTAATGATGATGACGATTATGATAAATTGTGTCAAAAACATATTCTATACAGTGTTGCCTTCTAATTACAGTGTTCCTTTGATAAGAACCTATCCCTCTTTAAAATCAACCGTGGCTCTGACTGTATCGTGTGGTTTATAGATGAATTGAAGAAGATTGGAGTGCTGGTGAATGATATTTTAAAGTACCAATGGACACGCTCACTGATGAACAATCACAGCATTTGGAAACAGCCCAAAATTGTCATATTGTCACGTCATAACGACGTACAAAAATTATTATCAATTCCATCTTTTGGAAATAATAATAATTTCTGAATTCAAAAAAATATCATATTCAAATACCGATGGAATCATACGATTCCAATGGTATTTTATATTGATCGTCTTACATCCGGTAAAACGATGGAAATAATTCGAAAACGATCACGTGATCATTCTCGTGATTCATACCACCCTGGTGGTATGAATGCGCGTTACTAAGGGCCTTATCACCCTGGTTTCGGATTGCTGTTGCGAAACAGTCCACCTCGTAACAGTCCCACCATTGTCCCAACGTTCCCCTCCTTCGCCTCACTCCTTACGCCAAACAGCTATGCATACCCCTATTCTCGTGTATTCCCTGCTCCCCGCGCTCTCTCCACCGCGAACCGTTCTCACGCCGTGTATTTCCTCTTTCCCGCTCTCCCTCCGCTGCAAACGCTCTCGCACTGTCCACTATGCCCCTTCCCTCTTCCTCGCACCCCTCTTACCAAGCAACGCGACCACGCTGTCCAACGCCGATTTTTCCCCTCCCCTAATAATTCATCCTTCATCGCGACAACGCCGTGATTTACCCCTCCCCCCTGCAGGGATTGTGGTGTTGTCGGGAAGGTAACAATCCACTAACAAATGCAATTGAACAAACAATTACAGATGTATTATCCACGTCAAATTAATACAAAAGTGAAGAGAAAATAATATGATCCGATCAAGTGTGCGATATGAGCTGAACTGTTATACTCAATTATATTCGCATGAAAAGGTGTCAGCGAGGCTGCTGAATATCCTTACAATTTGACAAATCAGAAAAGAAAACGCGTGGCATTGAAGGTGCGAGGTTTTACATGATTCCGGTGCGTGATGTAAAAAACGTAGTTTTTTAAATCTGTAACAGAAAGTGATTATTCTAGGAACAGAAACAATTGTCAGGTGTGGCAAGTAGGTGAAACAAAAATTTTCTGAACGAGGCGAGTTAGACGTGGTAGACGTGAATTGTCGGTTTATTGAGGAATGTTACGCCTCTCCTCTCTCTTCCAGCAGCGGGTGCTCGTGCTCGGCTGCGGCTGGTCCTGTTGTTGGGGGTCGTCAGGTGTGTCTTGATGCGGAGGCTGTCCTGAAAGCTGATCCATGCCCTCCGGCAGTATGTACGCTGGTTTCAGTCGGTCGATGGAGATCGGTGTGTTGTTGTAGTTTCCCAAACCTCCGGACTTCAACCAGATGACGAAATACTTGTCGTGGCCACTGATGACGCGAAATGGGCCGATGTATGGTGATCGGTATGCCATTCGCACGTAGTCGTCGCGAACGAAAATATGCGTACACGTTGATAAGTCCTTGAAGATGAACGTTGAACGCGGACCATGGTGTGCAGCTGGAATAGGCGCGATTGTACTAAAATGTTCGCCTAGATTTCTCACCAATTCCGGTGCTGCCGTTTATTGATTTGCTGGCACGAGGAACTCTCCGGGTAGACGGATAGGTTCCTCATACGTTAGCTCGGCAGGAGTCGTTTGAAGGTCGTCCTTCCACGTGGAACTCAATCCTAAAAGTACCAGGGGAAGTG